TATATTTTCTCATTAAATGAACTTAATAAAATAGAAATACTTGATGGAAAAAGAGCAGTAATATATGCTCGAAGAATATGCATAAATTTTAAGTTGGCACTACTGACAAGACAGAATCGGCGCAAGTTTAGTAATAACCTAAGATCGGCGTTTGACTTTTATAATCGATTTTATTATCTGCTGTTGTTTATTTTGTTCTTCTAGTAAATGTTTTATTTAAAACTTTATTTTTTTGTTTAGTCGTTTAGTGTATTATTTTAATAAAAAAACATTTGTAGTTTGATATTAAATTTATACAGGATTTCCAAAATGTCTTGTTGTTTTGTACCAGGAATAACCTGTCATTTGTTTTCACAAATATTTGTGTATTTACAAAATCAAATAATTTGTATGTTTTGTTGTAGCATACCAAATTTAGGAAAGAATGGCTGATAGCCATAGGGAGACCATTGGATCATTTTGTGACGTTAGTATAAGCCCAGAATACTAGCTGAAGACGCAAATATGTTATTGCCTCCTTGTTAGTGACCTCTGCTATTGTACAATTTTTTCAACAAAAGTTCCATGATCCTTTGAAATTGGCTGCTCCGTACTGATGAAGACCAATAGTTAGAAACACGTGTCGACCGTTATTTTTTTTTATTTTTTTTTTATTTTTTTTATTTGAAAAATGCCCACTATTACTACCTTGACAGAACTTTTTCTTTTGTTGATTAATTTATGACATTGTAATTTAATTATAACCAACAATTTTACAATAGAACTTTTTTGTTATATCGCATCCTTATGATCCATTATTCATTGTAATAAACTTTTAAGATTTATATAGCTTATAAAAGTTGAGCAAGGTGCATTGTATCCTTCACTAGTAATATTACAAGTTCATTGTTACTTTAGCCACGGTGAAATATTTGCTGAAGATAGATAATCACCAACAAACTCTTTCTATGTTACACACTGGTGACATTAATTTAAAACTTTGAATGTATGTTGTTAAACTAGAACTTATTCGGTGAAATAACTTATGGAAAAAATTTTTGTTTTTGCATTGACAAAAAACTTGAAAATATAGTGAATTGTGTAAAGAAACAATAATATGTACAATATAATATTTAAAAGTATGACGAAATCAAACAGCAATTTATAGACCAATATCATTATTGTGCACTTTTATTTCTCTTTGCAATTGCATTTATTTACTATTTCCTGGATAATATTTAAAAAGATCATCAAAGTTTTATTAATAACATTGAATGGTTATTAACTTATGCTTAATTGAATATGTTTCTGATCATGTTTTGGATAACCAAGAGCAAGTGGATGCTATATCTATTTATAAATAGTTCTAAGGCTTTGGATAAAGTTGATTATAGGAACATGATCTCATAATTGTTTAATTTAGGTTTCTCTAATGGGGTTATTATTTTATGTTACGTTTACTTATTTAGGTACCTGACGCATAATGTAATTTGTAAATTGTTATGTAGAAAGAAAATTGTTGGCAATAAAGTTATTAATATTATCATCCCATCATCTTAAACAAAATAGGTTTTTTATTTCTCGAGTTAATATTAGTTATGAATGTCAAATAATATCTAATTATTTTAATATATAAAAGGAAAATTGTTGGCAACAAAATTATTATTAATATTACGACCCCATTTATTAATTGCTATTAAACAACATAAGTGTAAACACAATCAAATTACTTAAATTTTTTATCCTTTTTTGTTGAAGTTTTATTTATTCATTTAGATAAATATTTGAATGCATTTAGAAATTTAGTATACTTTTGGACATATAAACTGCTAAAGAAATGATATAAAAATCGTAATTTTTAAAAACCGTTGCGACAGTTTATTCTACATCTTTTGGTAGGGTTTTTCTATTAAATATTAGTTCCGTTCTCTGTAGGTACCTATTATAGTTTGTATGTTTTATGCTTTATTTTATTACATGTAATAAAGGAAATTTACTTTTATAGTAAATAAATTGATTAAAGCAATATGTAAGAATAAGTTTCTCTGATTAAATTGTTAAGACAATTTTTCATATCTACTGTTAATTAATTTGTTTCATTTAATTCTTTCTTATTAAGTAAGTTATTTCATATAAATAAGCGATACTTGTAAAATGTAATAGTCTCTTTTAAATAGGTATATATTATGTTTGCATAAAATATTATTTGTTCAGTTAATAAAAACAGAAATATTTTGTCTTTTATTCAAAAGAAGTTTGTAAATTTTTCAAAATATATTTAACTACCCCAAAGAAAGACTAATAAAACCAGTTAGTTATATACATATTTTCTATATATTTACAAAGGTACTTTTTAAATAACTTTCAATACTTTCGAAATATGTGGTTTTATTAAACTCAATGTAACAAATAAAATAATAGATATTCTCAAAAATATTTAAAAATAAAATCGAGATAGGACTATTGTATAATTCAGTGACTATCCGCCTATGGTTGGTGCACTGCTGTATATGCCTGGATTTTCTACATTGGAACAATACTGCTTCTCCACTCTAGCAGTATTTGCATCTCACAAGATTATATTTATTAAAAAACCAAAGAATTGTTTCGGGTGTATTGTTGTGCTCTTTTCCAACATTCCCCAAGTTTTTTGTTTACTTTCTGCTGATTGGATCTCCCATAGCGACAACTCCATTTGTTGTTCCGCTGGTTTTTTTTATCAAATTTTTAAAATAACTTCTCTATATTTATCTTTTGAAACGACTTTTTCCTATCTGTATACAGATATGAGGAAAGTATAGGAATCATGATTTTTTTCAACCTCCGGTTTTCGACGGATTTTTACGTTTTGGGGTCCCCTGTGTGCGTGTGTGTGTGTGTGTGTGTGTGTGTGTGTGCGCGCGCGCGCGTGTGCGCGTGTGTGTGTGTGGGTGCGTGTGCGCGCGCGCGTGCGTGGGTGTGTGCGTGGGTGCGTGTGCGTGCGTGTGTGTGTGTGTGTGTGTGTGTGTGTGTGTGTCTCTGTGTGTGTGTCAGTACCCACCATAACTCATGAACCGATACAAAGAAAAACACCAAACTTTAAACTTAAGCTTTATTCCGGCATCCGATAAACTGATTAGATTTTGGTCAGAGTTGGAACATCTGGGAAGGTACTTTATAGGTGGTCATTTTTATATTTTATGGAATATATCTGTTATTGAAGAAGAAAATTCTTTAAATAAAAGTTACTTATCAATTATCAATATTTTTTGTTCTATACAAAATTTTCCTAAAATGGTCCGTATTCGAGAAATTTGACAAAATGTAAAAAAATAATTTTTTATAAAAATTGTTCAAATAAAAGTTGTTTATAATATAATTCTCTATAATTTTTATTCCATACATAATTTTTCTTAAATGGACCGTATTCGAGATATTTGAGAAAATGTGTAAATTTCGAATTTTGAAGAAAACTCAAAAACGGATAAAGGAAAAAACAATAAATTTTAAACTTAAGTTTTATTTCGGCCTGACGTGAAATGATTAGATTTTGGACAAAGTCGGAACATCGGGGGGGGGGGGGTACTTTATGGGAGGCCGTTTTTATATTTTATGGAATATATCTGTTATTTATGTTTGGAGAAGAAAATTGTTCAAATAAAAGTTACTTCTAATATTATTATCTATAATTTTTGCTTTATGTCAAAATTTCCTGAAATGGTCCGTATTCGAGAAATTTGACAAAATGTGCAAAATTCTGATTTTTATGAAAATTGTTGAACTAAAAGTTGTTTGCGATATCGATTTCTATAATTTTTGTTTATACATGATTTTTCTAAAATGGATCGTAAGGGGGCGTCCATTAATTACGTGAGGTGTTCAAGGGGGGGAGGGGATAAAACTAAATCTTTCTAAATCTCACTTGGGGGTAGGGGGGGTTTTCGTAAATCTCACGTAATTTTTTTCTAGTAGAAAACGGTGTAAAATAGCGTGAAAGTAAAGTTAAATTATACCAGGTCTTCAACAATACCCGAAACCCACGTGATCTGATAACCATCAAAAACCCATCGAAAGGGCCTGATTTGACGTAAAAGGAACTAAACTGAACTGACAGTCCTGCCAGAAATGTCACTGGCGTTCATTTGGGGACTGAGAATATTTATATTATATTTGTTTACATTTTATAAACACCTTTATTCCACTTTTCATTTAATATTAATGGAGCAATTAGTTATTTTTAGAGATTATTGGTGGCTTAATTATTTTTTGTTGGTAAGTACAAATTTATTTACTGTAACTCGTAAAAGTTAATGACTGTATATCATTTATTTCAGGTAATGTTACACTGGAACTAGTGTTGCATAAACATCGATAGTCAGAGCTTTTGATAGTATCGATAGTTTTTGATAAAAACTATCGATAGTATCGATGTACTATCGATAGTTTTGAAAGGTAGGTATTTGAAAAGATCAAAAAGCAAAGTAAACTGAGAACACTTTTATTTCCTATAAAAATGGGTGTCTACTTTAAGTTTTGAAAAATGAATAATTGTGTTTAATGAACAATAAAGTATCTAAATTTTTATCTTTAAGCCGGTTTCTTTTTTTCGTCATAATATAATAATAATAATAATAATAATAACGTCTTTATTATTTCTATAAAAATACAAAACAAAATATAATTATTTTATAATAAAACAAAATATAGAAATAATGGGCGAAGTTCATCCTTTGTAAATGTTTGATCATTTACAAAGCATGTTCTACCACTTAACCCTTAAACCCCTAACCCCAAACAACCTATACTAAATGGTAATTTTTAACGAATACGAAAATGTTTGTATATTGCTTGTACATTGCTTGAACACAAGAAAGTCTGTTTGATGTTTAATGAAGATCTCTAAATTAAATCTGTGAATTGAACAACTGCCTTTGAAAAAATTCTCTCTGTTGGCACCGAAGTAGCAGGTATACTCAAATATTTGAATGCTAATTCCCGAAGTGTACTGCTAGATTTGTGCCAATATTCCAGTGGGAAAGTACTTCTATCAATTACTGGCTTCTCTATATATTGCCTAATATCTATAATTGCATCACTAACAGGAGTGCTTACTTGTTGATTATCTGATGAAAAAAAGAGTAACTCGTCAATTTTGCTCGTAGAAGCAATATGAGTGGATGGTTCTGGCAATATAAGCGGTTCAGCTGCCTTTGACTTTGACGCAAGATACGATGCATACTCTTTTTGTAATAATTGCATAGCATGATCTGCATCCTGCGATAACAAAAAACCATATTTTTTGAATCTTGCATCTAAGATTGTGGCAAGTATGGCTGCGGTTCTTGTTGTGTAAGGTTTTAGCCTTGATTTTACTGAATTTGTTAATGATTTTAATACATCTTTTCCTTCATCAGTAATTAAATTGTTTTCAAAACTTGTGAGTTTCATTAAAATTCCTCTTGTTAGTGGTATTATCAAGGAAGAAGTTATAAAATGCTCGCCCGAAACTGTTGTTGTAGCCAGTTCAAAAGGTTCAAGAAGTTTGAGTATCTCATCTATTGCTTCAAAGTTTTCAGCGGTCAGCGTTGGTGGAGCCCTTGGACATTCATTCATCGCTATTACCAATTCAGTACGTATCATAGAAATTCTTTTCAGCATGAAAAAAGAGCTATTCCATCTAGTTTCGACTTCTTGTACTAGTTTAAGTTCCGGTTTACCTGATCTCTTTTGAATCCTACGCAATGTGTCACTTGCCAATGTACTGCTGCGAAAGAATGTCGCAATAGCCTTACATTTAGACAATATTTTTTCAAATGACTCTACTTTAAAGGAGTCTTGCACTGACAAATTCAGACTATGAGCAAAGCATGGCAAATGTCGAAGTCGTAAATTGCTTGCAGTGTTTACCATACTTGCAGCATTGTCTGTAACTATACCCACTATCTTATCACGAATATGATAGTCAACAAGTATCGCGTTGATAGCCTGCAACAAAAAATAAACTATAGAATAATGATACTGTAGATTAGATTAGATTAGGAGTTGGACGTTATTTGTCCTTGTCCACCGCGACCTTTTCAGATCTATTGTGGGACTCCGTTTGTTTTAGAGTATGTCGTCTAGCCTGGTCTTTTTTATTAGACTTAGTAGCTTTGACAGTGGCTCCCGCATGTAGTTGCATGCAATTGGCTTTTCTTCGCTATAATGATACTGTAAGAATAGTTGTATATAATTTATATATACCTGTGCCATTGCTTCAGCATTGTGACTCCCTTCAATTTTCATTACCCTCAATAAAGGTGATACTAATTTTCCTTCTTGAATATAATGACATGTCACTGCTAATATTCCCTCATTCGATGCACTTGTCCACATATCTGTTGTAATGCTAACAAAATTACAATCTGACAGTTCCATTGACAATTTGTTTTTTAGTTTTGAATAATAGTTAGGGACTAAAGATGTTTTGAGGGTCTCTCTATTGGGCAGTTGATATTTGTTATTCAATGCCTGTACAAATCTCTGCATTCCTTGATGTTCAGATGTTCGGTAGGACATCATGTCAATGGCAATCATCTCGACGTACAATTTATCCAGATGATTTTTTATATTAGAATTAGTGCCGTATAATTCATTTCTGTTTAAGTAACTTTTTATTGACTGTCTAGATTTTTTTGCCGGTAATTCACCACTATCATTTTCACTACTGAGGTCCCCACGTATATCGAATGATGACCCCTCACCTTCAGTCACTTTAGTTAGTTCTTTTTCATGTTTTCTTTTAAGATGATCGTTCAAATTTGTGGTATTTCCTGAATATTTATATTCTTTATTACACATTGTACACTTTACAAATTTATCATCTAGTTTATTAAAAAACTTCCAAACTACAGACTTTTTACGATCCATTTTCAAAATCACATCACAAAGACTTGAAAAAACTAACTAAAACATTGCTCGTATAAAGAAACCCTGGTATTCCCCGTGGACCTTGCATCTAAATCAAATGAAAACGAATATAAAGAGTGTTGCCAAGCTTATGAGCACCTGTCATGCAATTTTCAGATATATTATAGATTATAGCACGTCGTATTGTTGGCAAAAATCGAAAGACTTGAACTTTAATTCCGCTTTGTAATATATTTGATTGCCTTTATCTTAATTTAATTTTATTATAATATTAGATTATTCCTTATTTTCATGCATCCATTATAAACACGGCAACGCTGTCTTTAAAATTGGGTCATTTTTAAAGAGTAACCGATTGAGAAAACATTGGCAATTGGCATCTTACTTTAATATTGGTCGTTGAACAAAGACGCAAATACACTGAGTGCACACTTTTCATGTGAAAGGCCACTCGACTCGACGGCCGGCGCGGGTACATGTTTCGACTATCGATAGTTCTTTATAAAACTATCGATTGTTCCGATAGTTGATTTACTATCGATACTATCGATATACTATCGATGTTTATGCAACACTAACTGGAACAAAATTATTTTATATTCGTAATTGTATTCCAAAATTTGAGGAACGTTTTCCAGTGAATAAATGGAATGTGATTCTTTTTTGTCGTCATAAACAAATATTTGTTCAAAATTATATAAATGGAAGAAGCTCCAAAAGGCCCAAAGTAATAACAAAAGCTGTTGAAGATGTGCAAATTAACATGGTGCAAATTCCCAATAAGTTAGTAAAAAAAACAGCACTTCAAACAGGTATGAACGGTGTTTCAAAGACTGACTCTGATAAGTGAAATTCAAAACAAATATTTTTTAGGTTTGTCGCTATGAACTAGCCATAAAGTATTGAAAACATTTCTGATGCATCTCCCCTATAAAGTTTCGGTACTGCAACAATCAGTTTACCTTAATTTTGTTAAACCTACCTATGGAATATTACAGATCGTTCAATTCAAAATCGTTTGTGTGACGTTTATGAACTGGAGCACCTATATTAAATGAAATACAAAATACAACTGAGGAGAAACTGCATAATGTGTTCAAAGAAGAACAATTAATGCTTATATTAAAGCTGGTGGTAAAGATTTTGAACAGATAGGTACTGTGAATTAGTATCGTTTGTGCACCACCGATTACTACTCAATATCCTTTTAAATAAAATAGTTGTTAATAGGTATGCCTTTATAATTTAAAGTGAGAAGTGAGAGCTGTAAGGTAAAACAAATATGTGCTTGTTACATTAATAATATTAATATTTTTTTGTATACAAATAAGTAACAATGTATTTTGTAAATGGTTTAAACCCTGTAACAAATAAATAATAGAACATACTTAAATTATTTGTTTATTACTTCCCATTGCTCAGGTAGAAATCCAGTATGTTTTAAATTTGTTAACTTAAACTGCAATAATTGCCAAATACTACCATTGTCTTCTGCCTATCTTATTTAAAGTTTCAGCCGTAGCTAAATATCTTACGAGTCAATCTAAAGTAAATTTTTAATTTTATTCATATTTTAATGAATAACATTTTTTGTCCATAACTTTCTGGTAAAGGTTTTTTTTTGCAATAGTGGCAATAACTAGTACGCACATTTCAGGTTTATTATTCTTTTTGTTAAATACAATAATACAAACTAGATATAACAGCTCAGTTTTTAGGGTTATGTTAATTATATCAATTTTAAATTATTGCATTTGAATAAATCTAATTAAAATATCAAATTCTAACATTAAAATACAATAATGTAAAACACCTCTAATTAATATTATGATTTGGAGTTATAATTCCAACAGTTACCTAACTGAATTTTGTTCTCGTAGTTGCAGTCCATAAAAAAGAAGAAGATCTAGTTTGTAATAAAATACCTACGGCACTGGCTCACATCTAGGGATTTTTACTTTTATTTTCACCAATCGCTGTCATGACGATTTGGTCACGTGGGTTTTCGGTATTGTTGAAGACCCAGTATGTTGTCCATGAAATGGCTAAACAAAACAACAAATAATGCTTAACATTAAAAACGATCATGACTATGCGCTCGCATTTGACGAACATTACGAATCTGACGATACTTTTAGTGAATTTAAAACTGAACAATCACAAACACGGATGTCTTCAAATCTTGATGAAATTAAACAAGAAATCTTCGAATGTGAAGAGTCTAAAATTCAATATTCACCATGGAATTTGCCAACGAAAAATGATAATGAACAACTGTTTTCTGCAACTATTAAAAAAGAACCCTCTGATATTAACGATGTAGTTATTGAAAAACAAGAAGTTAGAGAGAATAAACAAGCTAAAATTGAAAATGAACAACTGTTTTCTGCAACTATTAAAAAAGAACCCTCTGATATTAACGATGTAGTTATTGAAAAACAAGAAGTTAGAGAGAATAAACAAGCTAAAATTGAAAATGAACAACTGTTTTCTGCAACTATTAAAAAAGAACCCTCTGATATTAACGATGTAGTTATTGAAAAACAAGAAGTTAGAGAGAATAAACAAGCTAAAATTGAAAATGAACAACTGTTTTCTGCAACTATTAAAAAAGAACCCTCTGATATTAATGATGTAGTTATTGAAAAACAAGAAGTTAGAGAGAATAAACAAGCTAAAATTGAAAATGAACAACTGTTTTCTGCAACTATTAAAAAAGAACCCTCTGATATTAACGATGTAGTTATTGAAAAACAAGAAGTTAGAGAGAATAAACAAGCTAAAATTGAAAATGAACAACTGTTTTCTGCAACTATTAAAAAAGAACCCTCTGATATTAAGGATGTAGTTATTGAAAAACAAGAAGTTAGAGAGAATAAACAAGCTAAAATTGAAAATGAACAACTGTTTTCTGCAACTATTAAAAAAGAACCCTCTGATATTAACGATGTAGTTATTGAAAAACAAGAAGTTAGAGAGAATAAACAAGCTAAAATTGAAAATGAACAACTGTTTTCTGCAACTATTAAAAAAGAACCCTCTGATATTAAGGATGTAGTTATTGAAAAACAAGAAGTTAGAGAGAATAAACAAGCTAAAATTGAAAATGAACAACTGTTTTCTGCAACTATTAAAAAAGAACCCTCTGATATTAACGATGTAGTTATTGAAAAACAAGAAGTTAGAGAGAATAAACAAGCTAAAATTGAAAATGAACAACTGTTTTCTGCAACTATTAAAAAAGAACCCTCTGATATTAATGATGTAGTTATTGAAAAACAAGAAGTTAGAGAGAATAAACAAGCTAAAATTGAAAATGAACAACTGTTTTCTGCAACTATTAAAAAAGAACCCTCTGATATTAACGATGTAGTTATTGAAAAACAAGAAGTTAGAGAGAATAAACAAGCTAAAATTGAAAATGAACAACTGTTTTCTGCAACTATTAAAAAAGAACCCTCTGATATTAACGATGTAGTTATTGAAAAACAAGAAGTTAGAGAGAATAAACAAGCTAAAATTGAAAATGAACAACTGTTTTCTGCAACTATTAAAAAAGAACCCTCTGATATTAACGATGTAGTTATTGAAAAACAAGAAGTTAGAGAGAATAAACAAGCTAAAATTGAAAATGAACAACTGTTTTCTGCAACTATTAAAAAAGAACCCTCTGATATTAATGATGTAGTTATTGAAAAACAAGAAGTTAGAGAGAATAAACAAGCTAAAATTGAAAATGAACAACTGTTTTCTGCAACTATTAAAAAAGAACCCTCTGATATTAAGGATGTAGTTATTGAAAAACAAGAAGTTAGAGAGAATAAACAAGCTAAAATTGAAAATGAACAACTGTTTTCTGCAACTATTAAAAAAGAACCCTCTGATATTAACGATGTAGTTATTGAAAAACAAGAAGTTAGAGAGAATAAACAAGCTAAAATTGAAAATGAACAACTGTTTTCTGCAACTATTAAAAAAGAACCCTCTGATATTAACGATGTAGTTATTGAAAAACAAGAAGTTAGAGAGAATAAACAAGCTAAAATTGAAAATGAACAACTGTTTTCTGCAACTATTAAAAAAGAACCCTCTGATATTAACGATGTAGTTATTGAAAAACAAGAAGTTAGAGAGAATAAACAAGCTAAAATTGAAAATGAACAACTGTTTTCTGCAACTATTAAAAAAGAACCCTCTGATATTAAGGATGTAGTTATTGAAAAACAAGAAGTTAGAGAGAATAAACAAGCTAAAATTGAAAATGAACAACTGTTTTCTGCAACTATTAAAAAAGAACCCTCTGATATTAACGATGTAGTTATTGAAAAACAAGAAGTTAGAGAGAATAAACAAGCTAAAATTGAAAATGAACAACTGTTTTCTGCAACTATTAAAAAAGAACCCTCTGATATTAACGATGTAGTTATTGAAAAACAAGAAGTTAGAGAGAATAAACAAGCTAAAATTGAAAATGAACAACTGTTTTCTGCAACTATTAAAAAAGAACCCTCTGATATTAAGGATGTAGTTATTGAAAAACAAGAAGTTAGAGAGAATAAACAAGCTAAAATTGAAAATGAACAACTGTTTTCTGCAACTATTAAAAAAGAACCCTCTGATATTAACGATGTAGTTATTGAAAAACAAGAAGTTAGAGAGAATAAACAAGCTAAAATTGAAAATGAACAACTGTTTTCTGCAACTATTAAAAAAGAACCCTCTGATATTAACGATGTAGTTATTGAAAAACAAGAAGTTAGAGAGAATAAACAAGCTAAAATTGAAAATGAACAACTGTTTTCTGCAACTATTAAAAAAGAACCCTCTGATATTAACGATGTAGTTATTGAAAAACAAGAAGTTAGAGAGAATAAACAAGCTAAAATTGAAAATGAACAACTGTTTTCTGCAACTATTAAAAAAGAACCCTCTGATATTAAGGATGTAGTTATTGAAAAACAAGAAGTTAGAGAGAATAAACAAGCTAAAATTGAAAATGAACAACTGTTTTCTGCAACTATTAAAAAAGAACCCTCTGATATTAACGATGTAGTTATTGAAAAACAAGAAGTTAGAGAGAATAAACAAGCTAAAATTGAAAATGAACAACTGTTTTCTGCAACTATTAAAAAAGAACCCTCTGATATTAACGATGTAGTTATTGAAAAACAAGAAGTTAGAGAGAATAAACAAGCTAAAATTGAAAATGAACAACTGTTTTCTGCAACTATTAAAAAAGAACCCTCTGATATTAACGATGTAGTTATTGAAAAACAAGAAGTTAGAGAGAATAAACAAGCTAAAATTGAAAATGAACAACTGTTTTCTGCAACTATTAAAAAAGAACCCTCTGATATTAATGATGTAGTTATTGAAAAACAAGAAGTTAGAGAGAATAAACAAGCTAAAATTGAAAATGAACAACTGTTTTCTGCAACTATTAAAAAAGAACCCTCTGATATTAAGGATGTAGTTATTGAAAAACAAGAAGTTAGAGAGAATAAACAAGCTAAAATTGAAAATGAACAACTGTTTTCTGCAACTATTAAAAAAGAACCCTCTGATATTAACGATGTAGTTATTGAAAAACAAGAAGTTAGAGAGAATAAACAAGCTAAAATTGAAAATGAACAACTGTTTTCTGCAACTATTAAAAAAGAACCCTCTGATATTAACGATGTAGTTATTGAAAAACAAGAAGTTAGAGAGAATAAACAAGCTAAAATTGAAAATGAACAACTGTTTTCTGCAACTATTAAAAAAGAACCCTCTGATATTAACGATGTAGTTATTGAAAAACAAGAAGTTAGAGAGAATAAACAAGCTAAAATTGAAAATGAACAACTGTTTTCTGCAACTATTAAAAAAGAACCCTCTGATATTAACGATGTAGTTATTGAAAAACAAGAAGTTAGAGAGAATAAACAAGCTAAAATTGAAAATGAACAACTGTTTTCTGCAACTATTAAAAAAGAACCCTCTGATATTAATGATGTAGTTATTGAAAAACAAGAAGTTAGAGAGAATAAACAAGCTAAAATTGAAAATGAACAACTGTTTTCTGCAACTATTAAAAAAGAACCCTCTGATATTAAGGATGTAGTTATTGAAAAACAAGAAGTTAGAGAGAATAAACAAGCTAAAATTGAAAATGAACAACTGTTTTCTGCAACTATTAAAAAAGAACCCTCTGATATTAACGATGTAGTTATTGAAAAACAAGAAGTTAGAGAGAATAAACAAGCTAAAATTGAAAATGAACAACTGTTTTCTGCAACTATTAAAAAAGAACCCTCTGATATTAACGATGTAGTTATTGAAAAACAAGAAGTTAGAGAGAATAAACAAGCTAAAATTGAAAATGAACAACTGTTTTCTGCAACTATTAAAAAAGAACCCTCTGATATTAACGATGTAGTTATTGAAAAACAAGAAGTTAGAGAGAATAAACAATCTAAAATTGAAAATGAACAACTGTTTTCTGCAACTATTAAAAAAGAACCCTCTGATATTAAGGATGTAGTTATTGAAAAACAAGAAGTTAGAGAGAATAAACAAGCTAAAATTGAAAATGAACAACTGTTTTCTGCAACTATTAAAAAAGAACCCTCTGATATTAACGATGTAGTTATTGAAAAACAAGAAGTTAGAGAGAATAAACAAGCTAAAATTGAAAATGAACAACTGTTTTCTGCAACTATTAAAAAAGAACCCTCTGATATTAACGATGTAGTTATTGAAAAACAAGAAGTTAGAGAGAATAAACAAGCTAAAATTGAAAATGAACAACTGTTTTCTGCAACTATTAAAAAAGAACCCTCTGATATTAAGGATGTAGTTATTGAAAAACAAGAAGTTAGAGAGAATAAACAAGCTAAAATTGAAAATGAACAACTGTTTTCTGCAACTATTAAAAAAGAACCCTCTGATATTAACGATGTAGTTATTGAAAAACAAGAAGTTAGAGAGAATAAACAAGCTAAAATTGAAAATGAACAACTGTTTTCTGCAACTATTAAAAAAGAACCCTCTGATATTAACGATGTAGTTATTGAAAAACAAGAAGTTAGAGAGAATAAACAAGCTAAAATTGAAAATGAACAACTGTTTTCTGCAACTATTAAAAAAGAACCCTCTGATATTAACGATGTAGTTATTGAAAAACAAGAAGTTAGAGAGAATAAACAAGCTAAAATTGAAAATGAACAACTGTTTTCTGCAACTATTAAAAAAGAACCCTCTGATATTAAGGATGTAGTTATTGAAAAACAAGAAGTTAGAGAGAATAAACAAGCTAAAATTGAAAATGAACAACTGTTTTCTGCAACTATTAAAAAAGAACCCTCTGATATTAACGATGTAGTTATTGAAAAACAAGAAGTTAGAGAGAATAAACAAGCTAAAATTGAAAATGAACAACTGTTTTCTGCAACTATTAAAAAAGAACCCTCTGATATTAACGATGTAGTTATTGAAAAACAAGAAGTTAGAGAGAATAAACAAGCTAAAATTGAAAATGAACAACTGTTTTCTGCAACTATTAAAAAAGAACCCTCTGATATTAACGATGTAGTTATTGAAAAACAAGAAGTTAGAGAGAATAAACAAGCTAAAATTGAAAATGAACAACTGTTTTCTGCAACTATTAAAAAAGAACCCTCTGATATTAACGATGTAGTTATTGAAAAACAAGAAGTTAGAGAGAATAAACAAGCTAAAATTGAAAATGAACAACTGTTTTCTGCAACTATTAAAAAAGAACCCTCTGATATTAACGATGTAGTTATTGAAAAACAAGAAGTTAGAGAGAATAAACAAGCTAAAATTGAAAATGAACAACTGTTTTCTGCAACTATTAAAAAAGAACCCTCTGATATTAACGATGTAGTTATTGAAAAACAAGAAGTTAGAGAGAATAAACAAGCTAAAATTGAAAATGAACAACTGTTTTCTGCAACTATTAAAAAAGAACCCTCTGATATTAACGATGTAGTTATTGAAAAACAAGAAGTTAGAGAGAATAAACAAGCTAAAATTGAAAATGAACAACTGTTTTCTGCAACTATTAAAAAAGAACCCTCTGATATTAACGATGTAGTTATTGAAAAACAAGAAGTTAGAGAGAATAAACAAGCTAAAATTGAAAATGAACAACTGTTTTCTGCAACTATTAAAAAAGAACCCTCTGATATTAACGATGTAGTTATTGAAAAACAAGAAGTTAGAGAGAATAAACAAGCTAAAATTGAAAATGAACAACTGTTTTCTGCAACTATTAAAAAAGAACCCGGGTCCGGTACGCTTTAAGTACGTCGGAATTTGAAAAAAAAAAATTGAACAATAAAAAGTATTCATTTTATATAGTAAATTAAAAACAAAAAAAATGCGGATAATCCACTATTTTTTGAGAAAAATTTAATCAAAGTTACAATATTTTGACGTTTCTTACCTAAGATTTTCCAATTTATATGGCAGTGTTGCCAAGAGATTCAGTTAGTAACAAGATGTCCTTTTATTTTAAACACGATTTAAATAAAAAAAATAAAATAATAAGTTTATATTTAAAAAACATTCGAAATAAATGAAAAAAAAAAAAAATAATTTTAAAAAAACTACAACTACTAAAATAAATTAACTACAACTAAAAATTAATATTTTTCACTAATTTGAATTAATAAATTTTTCATTTTATGTTTTGAAGTTTTTCCATAAATTTCCTCCCACATAAACTGGTCGATATATTCAGGTAGAAAGGGACTGGACATTACGCCTAAACGTCGTAAATACTGTTTAAGTATACTCCAGTACCCTTCTACCTGATTAGTACAAACACCAGTTTCAGGATCTTTAAAATGTTTTGAATGGTTCACTGTTTTATGAGTGTAACCCATATTGGAGAGATTATCGTATGCCCTCCATTTGTCCGTCCTTATTTCGGAACCTGGACGAACATGGTCTCTAATGACTTTTTCCAATGTTGGACCAGAGCGATTAGGAACATATTGAATGTATCCCCTTTTTAGTGTTACGTCATAAATTCCTATTACCCATCGCTCTGGTACAACTCGTCCTCTGTTGTATTTTCTTTTTGTTATAACTGATTCATCTATTTGAACAAGATGTCCTTCGCCACCTATAAATTAATATAAATGAAATACGTTCTAAACCTTCTATGAATTACAAGAATAAAAAAACCTACCTAACATAAAAGGCTCATTTATCAGTTTCCATGATAAAATATCACGAATATAACGAAATATTTGTAAAACAGACGCCTTTCTAATGTCAAGTGCTGCTGCTGTAACTCCTACACGACTACCTGTTGCCCAATACCACATTAAGAGTAACACCCCAGTATATATACCAATCAGTATTGGCACTCTGAGGCGGCACGTTTGATCTTTAAAAGTAGAAATTTTAGTTGACACTTGACGTTTTCGGGATATGAAAAGTTTTCTTTACGAGGACTTGGTATACCTGGTTAGTTGAATTTTTGTTCTGTTGCTTTTCAAATTCGTATGTATGAGGGAGATGTGAGATACCTTTATAGACAACGGTTGAACAACTTAATTACTTTGAAGAAGAAAATAGATTAGATATCAGGGCAGTCTTCACAAATGTAAGAAGGACAGAACCGTTTTAAATTTTTTTATATATGTGAAATATTACTTTTTGGTGAAAAGTTTAGTTACTTTTAGTTCAAAATATAACGTTAGTTTGTCAAGGGAAATATATAACACACAAGGTTAGAGTAACAAAATAGAGGTATTGCTTTATTTCTTAAAAATTACTCTAATCTAAAACTTTTCTAGTATATTGTAAACATTCCCAGACAACACACCAAATCCCCGAGATATCCACAGAATATATTTTGTGGATATCCAATATATCCACAGGATATCAGAAATATTCCGTGGAACTAATATAGATATCCAAATGTCCGTCTATATCCAGAATATAGAAGATATCCTATGGATATTCAGCAAAATATCTAATGAGTATCTCCAGACAATACAAGAAATCCCAGATATATCCATAGAATATATTTTGTAGATATCCAACCAAATGTCCGTCTATATCCCAGGATATAGAAATTCAGATAAATATTTTATAATTATTTTTAGTAGAGGTTCATAAGTAACCAATGGTTATTGAATAACGTCGAAAGAAAATAGAGGTAAAAAATATTCCCAACAATCTGCCTTTGATTTTGCCTACTAAGGAGAAAATCATCCTTATTAGGAATCTTCAGCAATAAATGGAACTTCTCGATTTCAGTCTCTAATGAAGTCTGTTTGTGAAACAATGTCGATCAAACTCAATTACGGCGGGTTAAGCATGAGTAGATACGAAAGTGGTATCGCCATCTATACTTAGGAAGCAAAATCAAAAATTACATCTAGTAGATATCCACGATGGTTTGCGTCCGCGCTTAGACTTTGATATATTTATAGTGGATGTCCATGGGATATTGAATACACCTTAAAAAAAATAATTTTAAATATCTCAACGGTACTATTAGCCACAATGGCGAGTACAATGGCGTAATTTTTTAATAATTTGCTATATAATTACAATTATTTATGGACATTTGCATGTCTATAAATTACATTTCATGGATATAAAATAGATATCCACCATGGACTGGACATTCAGTGGATATTGGGATGTTCAGTAGATATCCAAAGGATTTGGTGTGCTGTCTGGGTTTATTCTATACGTTATTTAGGTACTGCAAAATCTATAGGAAAGAAAGTATGTAGTTTTAAATTTAAAAATTTGTAACGGAGACATATTTAGTGTAGTTTTTTTTACAAATATATACTCAGTGACTTGTTTTTATGAATGAGTTCAAGTATGGCAGACTAAAATCGTTATTTTTTATTATGAATTAATTTGAATTTATTTTAAAATGGGAACTAAATGTACCTATATGGTTTTCGTAGTTTTTACACTTGTGATAAAAATATAAAAGTTATGTATATTGGCCATTTACTACACACAGCAAATTCATAGACACAATACATATTAATATTTGACATTCTTGTAAAACCACTAATTTAAAATTGACTTTAAACTAAGGTATAATTTATTGGATACTATAAAAAAATTAATAGTAGTTACATGTAGAGTTAAGTAACAAGAACTTTAAAAACAAAACAAACCTTTATATCTAGTGAACTTAATTTAGTACACTCCTCAACTTTCTTAGGCTAACATTAAAGATATCTATTTGAACCTCGCTAAAAAACTCATTGGTAACAGCCATTATCTTGTTAAAAGGAAATATACTACTTGAATCTAAACTAAATAATTTTTTGTTACTTGGGATTCTTAGATTAACCTTTGCCACATTAAAATTTATATAGTCAATCAAATCACAATCTTTGCACTTAACATTATTTAAAATAGAGTACAAAATATATCACAGCCTGTTGCTTTCTTCTTTGTAAAAGAGATTTAATCTCAAAACTATCGAACATAGTTTTATATGAGATCTTATAAAGGTACAAGTATTTTTTATGGCATAAAGGTAGGGTAAAAATATTTTTTGTACTTTTTCAATATGATCAATATGTGTGGCTTTCAAGGGCATCCATATTTGTGAAACATACTCAAGATGGGGTCTTAGTAAGGCATTATATAATCTGATTTTGGTGGTAATTCTAAATTTTTTTTGTATTTCTGATTTAAAAACCCAAAGCTTTTATTGTTTTTTAGTTATGTGTAAGAAATGGTTATTAAACTTCAAAATAGACTGAAAGACAACTCCAAAATCCTTTTTCTCATATTCACGATTTAATGTGACATCACAGGTCTTGTGTCTAATGTAAAAAATAAGAGGCTAGGGATCCTTACACCTTAAAATATGCATATGTTTGTAAGTGTTAAATGGACGGATAAAAAGTGTTTTTATTTACAACTATAATAAGAAACATATTATTTTTGATACCTGATAATCAATAAACAATAAATTTTTTGGAGTAGTAACAGATTTATTAATACACAACTATTATTTTGTTACAAATATTTATATTATAATATTTATAATTAACATAATAGTTGATATAAGTCCTTTAAAAATAATATATTTTGATTTAATTGTTGAATTTATACATGAGCAATTTTCCTTGTAGCGTTGTTTACATTTTGCAGAGAACTATTGTATTCTGCTTTTAGCTGATAAATCATATACATGTAAACGGGTTGAATGTGGACAATGTTAATGTTTTTGCTACTACTGCTAGCTAGGAATGCTGGGCTGGGACACCAACACAAAAAAAAACGAAGCACAAAGCACTAGATCAGTTTCTATCACTTATACACTTACAATTTACAAATATTCAAAGAACTAGCATGTTGGAAATACTTTACGAAAACATATTAAACATAAATCAGTCGAATGCAATGTATTTTCTTCTTATAAGACACCTTTTTAGCTTGATTACTTCTAGTACTCTATTTATTCCAATGTCCTCAAATAAAACGAGCAATAATACGTAACAATAAGGATAAAACACACACTAAAGTGTATTTGGGGTATTTTTGATCTAAATTCACTATCAAAACAACAAATTTTCCGTTTTTAAGCTGTGAATGTATTACAAAAACTACTTCGATAAAATGTAAACAAAAGTTTGTATTTATGTACGAAATATGGATTGCCTGCGCATGGTAACGAGTTTTTAACCGGATTTATGACAAGTGATAGGTTATATCCCGAAAACGTCAGCGCAGTAAAAGCTGCGTGTCTTTTTCCCGCCCAGGGAGTGTCATGGGCCTGGTAACACTATTCTCACAGGTAGTCTCATGTTTTCAAAAAATGAACCACTTACACAAGAATAGGATTTTTTACATCGTGTGCAAAAATTGTGGGACCCAAGTATTTTCCCAGCCTTTTTTTGGATCGTGCAGGTTCTTCTGCAATTTCTTTGCTTGCATCTAAATGGACTTTTTATTAAATTTTTCTCTTGTAAATATAACAATAAATCTTCATCAGACTTATTATAAATCATCATAACATCCATAATATTATTTAATTCCATTTTAAAATTTAATTTAGTTAATTAGTACTTAACGCGGAATTCAAGGAAAATTTAAATTTGACGTTTAATTTCTTTTTATATGATTTCGTGTTTTATGTGCGAACTCGACACGTTACAATAGAGAGAGACATTACATAAGAATCGCAGTCTGTCGAACAAAGATGCCCTTTTCTTGAAAATTTAATTTTTTTTACAGAAGATACATTTTGGGCTTTAGGAAGGAAAGTACTTTTTAAATATTCCACCGGAAACCCCATGAATTAACTTTTCTTTTTATATATTAAGGAATTATGAGGATCATTTATGTAAACTTATTCTTTAGACTTATATCTGTCATACTAAATCTTTACAAATGCGCGGTGTTGCCAAGTGCTCAATTATTATCAACGAAATAGTATTATAAAAAGTACACTACTTTTATTAATTTTTCATTACTATTCCTAGAAAACTTCTAATTTCCAGTCACATCTGACGATTTATTTATCTATTTTTTATTGAATTGTTGTAGTATGTGATAATTAAATATTAATATTATATCACCTATTAAGTAGCGAGCGAGTGCACCTTTTCCATCTACAACATAAGAGTACGCTATGCTCATCCTACCTACCTCCTAACCACTACAGAAGAGAGCGGGCGCGCATTTTTTCATCTAAATCATAATAACATGTTATGCTCGTCCCACCCACCGTCTAACTACTAAAGAAAATAGCGAGCGAAGCGAGCGCGCCCGGCCGACATTTCGAAATTCGCGCGAATTTCGAAATGTCGGCCGGGCGCGCCCTTCTTTTATTTACACCATAAGAGCACGCTATACTCGTCCCATCCAACTTCTAACCACTGCAGAAAATAGCGAGCGAAGCGAGCGCGCCCGGCCGACATTTCGAAATTCGCGCGAATTTCGAAATGTCGGCCGGGCGCGCCCTTATTCTATCTACAGCATAAGAGCACGCTATACTCGTCTCACCCAACTTCTAACCACTGCAGAAGAGAATGGGCGTGCATTTTTTTTATCTAGATCATAATAACACTTTATACTCGTCCTACCCACCGTCTAACTACTAAAGAAAATAGCGAGCGAAGCGAGCGCGCCCGGCCGACATTTCGAAATTCGCGCGAATTTCGAAATGTCGGCCGGGCGCGCCCTTCTTTTATTTACACCATAAGAGCACGCTATACTCGTCCCATCCAACTTCTAACCACTGCAGAAAATAGCGAGCGAAGCGAGCGCGCCCGGCCGACATTTCGAAATTCGCGCGAATTTCGAAATGTCGGCCGGGCGCGCCCTTATTCTATCTACAGCATAAGAGCACGCTATACTCGTCTCACCCAACTTATAACCACTGCAGAAGAGAATGGGCGTGCATTTTTTTTATCTAGATCATAATAACACTTTATACTCGTCCTACCCACCGTCTAACTACTAAAGAAAATAGCGAGCGAAGCGAGCGCGCCCGGCCGACATTTCGAAATTCGCGCGAATTTCGAAATGTCGGCCGGGCGCGCGCTTCTTCTATCTACAACTTAAGAGCACGCTATACTCGTCCCATCCAACGTCTAACCACTGCAGAAAATAACGAGCGAAGCGAGCGCGCCCGGCCGACATTTCGAAATTCGCGCGAATTTCGAAATGTCGGCCGGGCGCGCCCTTATTCTATCTACAGCATAAGAGCACGCTATACTCGTCCCACCCAACTTATAACCACTGCAGAAGAGAATGGGCGTGCATTTTTTTCATCTAGATCATAATAACACTTTATACTCGCCCTACTACTACTCGTCTAACTACTAAAGAAAATAATTCGCGCGCATTTCGAAATGTCGGCCGGGCGCGCCCTTCTTCTATCTATACCATAAGAGCACGCTATACTCGTCCCATCCAACTTTTAACCACTGCAGAACAGAGCGAGCGAAGCGAGCGCCCCCAGCCGACATTTCGAAATTCGCGGGAATTTCGAAATGTCGGCCGGGCGCGCCCTTCTTCTATCTACACCATAATATCACGCTATACTCGATCCATCCACCTCCTAACCGACGTTCGGCCAGGCGCGCCCTTTTTTCATTTACAAGTACAGCTACATGCTGTAGTTGTCAGGATACAAGTGATACGAGCGTAGTGTGCTCTTAAGGTGTAGAAGAAAAAAGGGCGCGCCCGGTCTACGTTTCGAAACGTAGGACGGGCGAGCTCGCTTCGCTCGCTCTTTTCTGTAGTGTAGACTAAATAATGGTAAGTTACATTACTTTTTGTACATTCTCTGTATATACATTTCGACTTACACCTTAACATTACAAATTTCTCAAATATTTGCTAATTAAAACATATATTTAGTTCAGATAACATGGTCATTGTATTTAAATTTATTACCTACTACTTACCTATTTATTTTCTTCTATAATTTACAGATGTGTTTAATTATCTGTCTGGATCAAATGACCTTTAAATATTTGAAATACTTTTTATTTTAAAGATAACAAATATTAAAGTAATTACAAAATAGGGTGTATCGATGTACATTTTAAAAAGGATGCAGCTGAAAATATCCTCCGAGTGACGTCACAGCTAACCCAGTAGATGTTGAACTAATTCGGATATCCTTTTTAATTGATAGTAGTCGTTGAATTTGGTTGGCTGCATTATTTGTCCAATAAATAAATTTCCTTATTTCAAAAGTGGAATAACACAAAGTAATTATGTTTAAGAGTTTTCGAAAAGTACATTGTTTATTACTGTATAGATGATCTAATATTTAATTATTATGCACTACAACAATTCAATCAAAACGGATAAATAAATCGTCGGATGTGACTGGAAATTAGAAATTAGGAAAGTTTTTTAGGAAGAACAATGAAATAAATTTAATCTAATTAATGCTTCTTCAAGTGTTTGAAAATATTCCAAAAATAAGGTACTCTTTTATATTATTTCTTTTTCGTTGATTTTAATTGGATACTTGGCAATACCGCGCAGTTGTAATGTCTGAGAATAACATATATAATTCCAATTCTATAGAATAAGTTTACATAAATGTTCTTCATAAGTCTCTAATATTTAAAAAATGTTAATTTATGGATTTTCTGGTTGTAAATTTGAAAAGGTCTCCCCTTCCTAAAGCCTAAAATGTAAGTTTTGTAAAAAATTGATTTTTAAGAAAAGGGCGTGTCCAATATTTACTCACAATTTTTTAAACCCCAAAAATTATTATTAGACAGAAAATAAAATTTCAAAGTGGCAACGTTGCAAATTACAAACTTGTGTAAGTGTTCTGTGCTTGTGCTTTTGTAACTTGTCAACTTCAATTATAAAGGCGTCGACAAATGTTTGAAAGGAATTATAAATTAGTTAATATATTTAACAAATGACATAATTTTTCGTATACAATTTTAGTTAAAATATAAAAAGTAAGTTACTTTAATATACTACTGATAAAACTTCGAAATTACCATATATGGGTAATAGGTAGAAACTGGATAGAACCCATATAGATATAACCTATAAAATTGCAACTTTTAATTCAATTTTTCTGGATTAATAGTCAGTTATCCGCATTTTTTTATTTAGAAACTGTCTATTTGGAATACGTTCTTTTTAATAGTACCAAAATTTTTTCAAATTTCCGACGTACTTAAAGCGTACCGGAGCCGTCATTCCAATATGGCTGAAGTGAACCCGTCTTAGACCACGTGACAGCGTCTCCCTACCTTCTACCTCCATGTGTGTAGATTTGTTATTAGATATTGTAGTTGTAACATAATTAACTGTTTAATTTGTTCATTAAGTTGGTAATTTTAAAACAATGAACGTGAAACCGAAAGGTCCTTATTATGAAGTTGTTATCAAATCGGAACCAGATCTTTCTAGTCTAACAGGATACCTATTCTCTAACTCATGGGAGCACTCCCACACTCCCATGCTCCCATACTCCCATGCCAACGTTGCCAAGTCGACAGAATAACTTTGATCTACTATTTAAGGACCGATCCACCGTTGTGTTAAACGAAGTTTAAAATGACATTTTTACATTAACAATGTCATTTTAATCTCCGTTTAACTCAACGGTGGAATCAGCCCTTAGTAATTCAAATTTGCTTTGTGATAAATACGGACAAAGGACCGATTCCACCGTTGTGTTAAACGAAGTTTAAAATGACATTTTTACATTAACAACGTCATTTTAATCTCCGTTTAGCACAACGGTGGAATCGGTCCCTAATCTGGCAAGCCCGCAATTCTCCCTCCCATAGTATAAAATCTGACCTTACTACGCATGTACCTGGGCTAAAAGTGAGTAAGCACGATATACCCACCTAAGAGTAAGAGAGCAAAATATATGGGAGCACTCCCATGGGAGCGCTCCCATGACTTAGTGAATAGCTATCCAGAAGAAAATTATTAGGTCTTCAACAATACCCGAAACCCACGTGATCTGATAACCATCAAAAACCCATCGAAAGGGCCTGATTTGACGTAAAAGGAACTAAACTGAACTGACAGTCCTGCCAGAAATGTCACTGGCGTTCATTTGGGGACTGAGAATATTTATATTATATTTGTTTACATTTTATAAACACCTTTATTCCACTTTTCATTTAATATTAATGGAGCAATTAGTTATTTTTAGAGATTATTGGTGGCTTAATTATTTTTTGTTGGTAAGTACAAATTTATTTACTGTAACTCGTAAAAGTTAATGACTGTATATCATTTATTTCAGGTAATGTTATACTGGAACAAAATTATTTTATATTCGTAATTGTATTCCAAAATTTGAGGAACGTTTTCCAGTGAATAAATGGAATGTGATTCTTTTTTGTCGTCATAAACAAATATTTGTTCAAAATTATATAAGGCGATTTTAAATCAGATACTATGTCTTGAATATGATTGACTACACTGATATAAATCAAAAACAATGACGTCATATTGAACATTGTCTTGAAATAGTCAAGTTTAACATGACTACAGTAAAAACGTGGTCATCACATGTATGAAATGTCAAATGAAATGACAAATGTAAAACTTTTACTTTTTAAT